AGAAGATTGAGAGAGGGAATTATTCGTACGAGATACTCGTACGCGGCGACTCCTAGTAATAGAGCGCTCAAGTTCGGAAATTGATAGCACTAAGCCTTCACTCCTAGAGCGAGTGCTTGGCATACAATTAGGGATGGTGCCTTAGTCTCTACAGCGTAACTGAAAGAGTTACGATATCGACTTGTTAGTCCCCGGCAACAGCGCCAAAAACTTGATCGGGACTTTGTGAGTCTTAAAGAATCTAGACCGCAAGTATACAGTCCTATCGCGTGTAGCTTTAAAGATTATCGAATCCCAAGGGACTAAATTTCGAACTACCATTATCTTAGGTTACTACGTAAATCTAAGGCTAATGATATAATTAATTGGGGTTTGGGAACCTAACTGATTAATATCTAGTTTAGATTCAAGGGGGAATATCGGTATGTAATGGTCGGGCTTCGGGGATTTAGAAACTCGATGACCTAATTCAGATTAATAAAATAGTTCTTAATAGGAGGTATTTGTTTGAAAACCCTCTTCTCACACTCTCGTGTTTATTGATTCAGATCCTACTATCAAACCTAAGTGAGTGCTCTCGCTATTTCAAATAGAGTTTAAAAATAGTTTTTGAAAACAAATAAAACCTAATTAACTTAAAAGTGCTCTCGCTGTATTTTAAGTTAATTCCCAATTATCACTATCCAGTTATTATCTTAAACTCTCGTTTTATTGATCCTAACTTCTATCTGTATTTTACTTTCGTAACAAAACAATTGGTTTTTAGAATTGATAATTGAAACCAGAAAAGTTATTCTTTTAAAAAGGAACTGATCAATCGGCGTTGCCAAAATCCCGTTAGCTATGTGACCTTACATACCGATAAATAAATTTAGCCTAGCATGTTAAACAATTTAGTAACAATGAAACATAAATAATTATCATCAAACAATTTAAATAAACATAACATTTCGAACAATCTTGACATATATAAATAAAATACTTAAATTAAACCTGAAAATAATATGGAGGAATATTTGGCTCACTTCAAGTATCTCGCAGAGATCGATGAAAAATAACTAGCAGAAATAATTAACGTGGAGAATATTTTTGGCAGAGTAACACTAAAATTAAAGAGAAGAAAAATGCATTCGAAAAAAGGAATAAAAACTGGAAGCTCTCGAACAGGAATTATGAGGCATTATTTATAGGCCTGGAGGTGCGTGGGAGTTGAGATATTTTCTCCTCCCACTTGCCCAGCGTAACGGTCGTTACACTCCCCTCTTCAAGGAGGATGGAACAGTCGTCATGAACTATTAAAACGGGGAAGGCTGCAACGGTCGCTGTAGGCCAAGTCTTCAGGAAGGGCTAGTTGGCAAGGGTGTAATGGTCATTGCACCTAGGCAAGGAGAGTGTAACGGTCGTTACACCTTGGGCTTGGGGAAATTTGGGCCTTCCTTCATTTATTCTTCAGGGCCTTTTTACTTGTGATGCGCCTTGTTTTTTCATACACCCCATAGCTTCATAATTGTTCACTTTTTATGTGGATTTAAGCATGATTGGCACAACTTTTCCCGATTTTCTTCGCATGTGTCTTGTAAAAACAAATTCCTGAAAACATAGAAAATACCGGCATAATACGAATAAAGAATAATAAAGGTAATTAAAATGTGGATACAATTCATATAAATTAACCTAAATATTTTATATATTTCCGGGTTATCAATCTTTAGCCTTCAGTCCTCTCATAGGTTGGGGAGGAGGTCTCCTCGCCTTTGTGGAATTCCTCTAGTGGCTTTATTCCTGAGCTCATCTTTATGGCCTTCCCGCTTTGAGTGCTGATTCTCTTCAACCTGAGGATTTATGTGTAACACTTTCTGGAAATCTCATGATCTCCTTGGATAACCCCTACTCTTCAATTTGAGAGCAGATACTTCATACATAAATACATAGTAGACAAGGTGGCGCCCAATCGAATAAAGGTTGGTTGCCCTATAATCATATTATATGAAGATGTGGCATCGATAACCAGATACATAACCTTTATCTTCTTAGCTTGATCTTCTTCTCCAGAGGTGATCCTCAAGGTCATATATTCCTTTACTTATTCTTGTTCTCCATAGAATCCATCTAATGATCCTTTGAATGAATTTTGATCTTCTAGATCGAGGAGAAGTCTTTCAAACGCCTCCCAATACAATATGTCTATAGAACTCCATTGGTAAACGAGGACTCTTTTAACCTCCATGTCTTTTCATTTGACGATAATGACCATGAGTCGTCATTATAAGGTTGAATGTCAGCAACATCTTTCTCCAAGAAGGTGATCATGGCTTCCGGTGCATGAAGCTCGCCTTAAATCTTGACCTTACAGGATTTTCTACACTCAGGATCTAGCGACTGTACCTTTTTTTGGTAGAACTGGTTTCTCCGCCTCTGGAGAACCCCTTGTTATAGTGTTAAGCGTGTGGTGCATAGATTTTCTATCCTCGCCCTAAGACGCCTATTTGGGTTTATTGGCTTGGGGCTCTTAGCATCGTCTCGACAATGCGAGCTAGACTTGTCTGGTGAACAGGAGGAGTCACCCTTCACATATTTATTGAGGTGTCTCTCATGTATTAGTCTTCTGATCTTATTTTTGAGTTGATAACAGTCCTTGGTGTGATGTCTCTTTACCCTATGAACTTGGACCATCTTCCTGGTTCAGAACCCATCACATTCGCCTTAGGGTCAGGCGGCGTAGAGACATTGTGCAAGTGTAGTACCTCACACCAAATTTTCTCACGGCAAGTGTTCAAAGGTGTGAAGTTCTCTGTCACCTTATCAACCCTTTTGAACATCGTCTTGTCCTTTTATGGGCGAGGTATAATTGGTCTTCCTTTAGTGGTGTGAGCTCCCGGCATTAGGAATAAGCGTCACTTGCCTTCTTTTCAGTGTTGTTTCCTCACCCTTTGTGTAACACTCAACTCTGGTGACTACTTTTGCCAACGATAATGTTGGCTTATGTGTGATGGACTCATTGAAGTGCCCCGTCTTAAGTTCATTTTAGAATGCATCCACATACATTTCATGTTTTAGTGGGACATCCTTGATGATGACTTTGTTTAAGCGGGCACGATAATCCCTCAGCGTCTCTGATGCACCCTGACATATATTAAACAGACTGGTAGTGGACATCTTCTTGTGATGGCTGGCGGTGAATTAGTGTACTAATTTCTTTACTAGTTCCTGGTAGCTGTTGATAAAAGCATGTTGTTAACCTATATACCATATGAATACGGCGTCCTTGAAAGTACCAAATAGTTGCTTGCATTTCAGGGAGTCAGGTGCTCCTATGATGGTTATTTGTGTATTGAAGGAGGCAATGTGCACGTAAGGATCGTTGCGTCCATCTACAAACCTGTATTTGTTCTTCAATGCATACTCTTTTTATCTTCATGACCAACTATAATAATTTTCCTTATTAACTGTAGATTTGCACTAATAGACAATGGATTCTTCAAATGATGAACATAATAAGAATTATTCTCTCCGTTTCTTTTTAAATGTCATTTTTGTGAAAAAAAATGTTTTTTTTTTTTTAAATTTTTGTTTTTCAAATTCAAAGTAGTAATGATTATAGTTTTATCAAAATTATCTCTAACTAATTATTATAGAAAGAAAAAAAATTAAAAAAATTAAAAGTTAAGGGTATATAGATAAAAGAAAAATCTAGCATGAAAAATAATAATAATTATTAACTTTTTTGATATGTGTAAAACATTAAAATATGACAATTAAAAAAGAACAAATAGAGTAAGAATTGATCTCGACCGTGATTGAGATTATTGTCGTTGTTTCTCACCATCGTAATTGATTCAGAGAAAACTAAATTTGTGAAGAAAATGTTACAAAAAATCAAAAAGAAATAAAATTTGCAAACAACGCATAGATAAAACGTGTTTACTCTAATTTGATACCATCGTAGTGGAATCAAAAACCATGAGTTTAATGCACAATAGGAAAACATAATTTTGTTTTACTCGTTCATAACGATAAAAAACTGGAAAAAATAATTTAATACACAATTTGACTAAACAAAGTAAAAATGTCATTCCATAATTATGATTTAATTTGATTCTTTTACTGTAATCAATCTCACTTATAAGATGAAAACCGGAGAATTGTTGTTGTTTGAAACCATATTTGTAAATTTAAAAGTCAAAATTAATAATTTCTAAATTTTAAAATCAGTGCCCATATTTATCAGCACGAATTCTAAATTATTAAGATCTAATTCTTCTTAAAATAAGAATGTGGGAAAGAAAAAAAAAAGTTTTTATAAAACAGAAAAATTGTCTAAGGAATGTTGAAGATGATTGCTGCAGCACCTAACTGTCAACGATTCAAGATGGAAGGAAGTTATTGGTTGAGGGCTAACTGCCTTTCTAATCAAATCCCCAAAAATAAAATAAAGAAATCTTAAAATCGATATTCTTCAATAAATAAAATAATACTAAAAATCAGACAAAATAAAAAAGAGTGCCGACATGAAATTTAAAACATAGTAATAATTAGTTTATCTCCGTCGACATCAAACTTTATATTCGTTTGATTTTTTTAATAATATAATAATAACATTCCAAAAAATTAATATTTTTATTTTATTTTCAATTAGAATTAATTATTCTTTTATAATAAATAATTATTTATCATCTTAAATACTACGTGTTACCATTCAGTTTTGTCTCACGTAGATATATTATTATACATACATTCAAGTTTTCTCTTTATTCTTCTCTTCTTTGTCAAAGCTACTTAACATAGCAAAAACTCTTCAACTCTGTTCAAATTTAGGTTTTGAGTAAATGCAACACTTTGTAAGTTTCTCAATCTAGGTTTTTTTCATTTCACTACTTGTCTACATTTTATTCAATTGGTTGCATATCGAAGAATATTTGATTGTGTTTTCTTGCACTGTTTGTGTTTGATGCAGTTCCTCTGAGAGTTCATTTTCTGGTTTCTGGGATTTTGTTGGGAATATGATTGTGTCAGCTCTTTTAACATCTGTTGGGATCAATACGGCTTTGTGTGTGTTGTTTTTGACATTGTATTCTGTATTGAGGAAACAACCGAGTAATTATGAAGTTTATTTGCCTAGATTGTTGGTTGAGGGGATTTCTAAAAGGAGAAGTCATTTCAATTTGGAAAGGCTTATACCTTCTCCAGGTTGGGTTGCTAAAGCCTGGAAACTCTCTGAGGAGGAGCTGTATTCGTTAGCAGGATTAGATGGTTTAGTTTTTATGCGTATCATAACATTCAGGTATATTTATCTTTCTCGCTTTTCTCGCTTTCCTGTCCATAAGGGATAGTAGTTTTAAATTGTAGTATGCAACTGCAATTGCGGCATGTAGAGAGAACACTTGTAGATTCAGTGATAAAAAAAGTAGACCAGATGGAGAGAAGTCGTTTAAACAACTAGAGGAACAAGAACACCTAGAAAGACTATAAGAGAAGTTAATAAGAAAGATTTCGAGATTAACGATTTGGATAGAAGCATGGTTCTGGACAGAACATTATGGTAAAAGTTGATTCACGTAGCCGACCACACTTAGTAGGATAATACTTGGTTATTGTTGTCGTTGCAACTGCAACTGCGGCCACAATATAAATGTTTTTTACGGCCACAATATAAATGTTTTATAAGTTTCGGCTTTGGCATCACAACATCAATTGCGGTTGGATGGGCCACTCTTATTGCAATGTCTAAGTTCGCGTTTGCAGTGTAACTGCAATCGTGACCATAGCAGCAATTGACAACCATACTACCATGACTTTCGTGGTTTTCTAATTTGTGCACGGTGTGTTTCAATATGCGCTCCTTTTAAAACTTAAAAAGGGGTAATTAAGTTGTTTATGATCCTCTTATTTAGATTGAGTTCTTATAAGTTATGTTTTTTGGATGCAGTGTGAAAATATTTACTTTTGCTGGGGTTATTGGGATCTTTGTGCTTCTTCCAGTCAACTGCTGGGGAAATCAGCTACAAGATTTTGATGGTTCTAACTTTACCAATAGCTCCTTGGATGTGTTCACTATATCAAATGTAAACAGTGGATCTAACTGGTGAATATTACCTCAAGATTTTATTATTCAAATTGAACTGTGTTTAGGGAATCGTTTGTTTTCGGCTTATTATGGGATCAGAATCCGTATGAAATTGTTTTCCTTTGTTATTTCCTTTTCAGGCTATGGGTACACTTCTGTGCTGTATATGTTGTAACTGGATTCATATGTTTTCTACTTTTTTATGTAAGTACGTACTCTCTTAGCTTATGAGAACATTTTGTCCAACTATTATATCTTTTTTCCGTATCCCTTCTTCTACAGTGCTCGATGATAAGGGTGTCCTTTCTTCTTAATTTTCTTTATTAATTGAAATATATAAGTTGATATAGCTTATGCAAGAAACAAGATTGAACAACGTACTCATTTCTCAACATTATTTCAATCTTCAGGAATATAAACACATCTCTTCTAGAAGAATTTCTTACTTTTATTCATCCAAACCACAGCCTCATCAGTTCACCGTTTTAGTTAACAGCATTCCCGCTTCTTCTAGCAGTATCAGTGACAGCGTTGACAGCTTCTTTAAAGAACTTTACCCTTCTACTTATCTTTCACACGTGGTTGTTCGTCGTACAAACAAAATCCAAAGTCTCCTGGTAAGGATTATGTTAAATTTTAATTTACTTGATAGTCGATTTTCTCGTCTATATTTTACATTTTATTGTAAACTTTACCTATTGGTCTTCTAAGGGCAGCATAATTTTGTAGATTTGTGTATTATTTCACATATTTATGCTTTTAATTTCTTAGTCTAATCATAGATATGTCACTTATAGTTAACAAAGCTGTCAAATTGGAGCTTCAAGTGAATTCCAAAAGAAATTATATGCATCTCCTGTTTCATCTTAACCATGGAACTGACTACACTTTAAACTGGTGTTATTTTTCTCCAAACATGTAGAATATAAGTTACAAACATTGGTTGTGAATAAGCTATTGTCATCGTACTACAATATTATAAGTTACCAACGTTGGTTGTGAATAAGCTATTATCGTCGTACTACAATATTATAAGACTGTACTATAGATGTTTCAACTAGGTGAGTTCATTATACTCCATTTTCTCTAATGGAATGAAAGATACACAAGGCCATTTTGTTACATATTCAAGCAAAATATTTTCTCTTTTGATCTTCTTCCTGTATGCTTCTCTATATTTTTCTTTTTTATACTTATACAAGATACTGAGTTACCATCTTTTAGAACAAGAACTAGTAACAAAAGAGAAAATAGAAACGAAAAGACAGTTTTGTCATCTAACAAAATACATGGTATTTCTCAGGAATAATTACTACTACCTCTGTCTCTTTTTATGATTGTGATATTTCATGGAAAATTTTGTTTGTAAATGAAAATTGCTTGAGACAATTATAATAATCAAAGTCTATCCAGTATCCACTACTCAAGCAACATAGATAACTTTAACATTTTCTATGTGAGTTCAATCATCTTTTCAGTGATATGTATAAGGTGGCTGCTATGTTGATCAATTTTAAGTGCTTTGGTATACTATTTATGTTTCAATTTAAAGAATTATCCGGCTCATTTCCCTATCTTTTGAATTCCTCAATCTAGAATGATGCAAACAATATGTATAAAAGGGTTGCACAATTACGACCAGATCCCACTAAGAGAAAGATTAGGCATGGAGCCCTTTCTCGACTTTTTGGCAAAAGAAGTAATCACATAGAGCGTTACGAGAAGAAGTTAGAGGAAATCGAGGAGAATTTAAGATTGAAGCAGTCAGAGGCTGCACTGGCAGGAGAAGTATGTGGTAATCTTTGAATTTTAAAAGAAACATTTTATAAGTAGTATACCGACCTTCTTTTAACTATTTGAATTTTTCACGTCTCTGTTGGCATGAAGTGCATGCTACTAATATACAGTAGGCTCGAGCTGCGTTTGTATTCTTCAGGACTCGTTTTGCTGCTGAAGCTGCTTTCCATCTGCAGCAATCAGTCAATCCAACACAGTGGATTACTGAGTTGGCACCAGAACCTCGTGATGTTTACTGGCCTTTCTTCTCTGAATCGTTCATACGAAGATGGATTTCTAAGTTGGTGGTTGTACTTGTATCTATTGTTTTCACAATCTTGTTCCTTGTACCTGTAGTATTCGTACAAGGGCTTACCAACTTGAGTCAATTGAAAGCTTTGTTTCCCTTCTTGACAAGTCTTCTAACCATGTAAGTTAACTTGGTTTGTTTATTTGATGTTATTTGTGAATTCATATCCTCTCTCTAGATTGAAAGTTTATTCGCAATAAGAAAAACTTTTAGAGTTGCATGAGAGTTAAATCAATCATTGATTATGTGACAAGTTGGTGATTGTAGGTTTTATATTTCGATGATTGTATGTTCAGTTCATTATGTGAATTTGAATATCCGCTAGTTCCAGCAAGAAATGATTGATAATTACTGGATATCTGACACTTTTGTGAATATGCTTACAGAAAATTTGTCAGTCAGATAATTACTGGATATCTTCCCAGTCTAATTCTTCAGTTGTTTCTGCTACTGGTGCCGCCTGCCATGGAGTTCCTTTCCACTATTCAAGGATACATCTCACGTAGTGATATAGAGAGGAGTGCAACTACTAAAGTGTTGTGGTTCACAATATGGAATGTTTTTTTCGCGACCGCATTTTCTGGGTCAATTCTATCTATGATGTCTACCATCCTTGATCCTAAGGTCATTCCTGCGACGTTAGCAGTTGTGGTTCCAGCACAGGTTAGTAAACACAAATAATCCGATCATTCTAACAATATACTCCCCCCGTCTCATTATAACGGTTACATTTGAAATATTTCCCCGTCTCAAATTATTTCACTTCAAACTTGGCTATTTTAGTCTCTACCGTTAATAACACCACTAATTATTTTAATAAGTCTGTAACGATCATCATATATTTATTGAAAAATTAGGTTAATACAGAAATAGAAGAGGGAGTAAACAATATTCTTATTACACAAATTTTTTTTTTTTATATATTAATATTATTACACTTCATTAATCATACTATCTATCACTTTAAAAGTCATATGATCATAATTCAAGTAAAATCTACATGCCAATTCATTAAAATAATTTTTTTTTTCCATTTCTATCTTTTTGACGCATTTAAGTTTTGTTTGATTGCAGGCATCATTCTTTATTACTTATGTTGTCACCTCAGGATGGACAAGTGTGTCATCAGAACTCTTCCGTATAATTCCTTATATTCTTAATTTGATAACAAGGATATTCACAACTCCAGATGATGAATTTGAACTTCCATATATGCCATACCACAAGGATATTCCAAGGGTCCTTTTCTTTGGACTTCTTGGTATTACATATTTTTTCCAAGCTCCACTAATTTTACCGTTCGTCTTGGCCTACTTTTGTCTTGCATACATCATTTACAGAAACCAAGTAAGCATTTATTTGGGTTTTTTATTATCTATCTATTTCTTGAAGGGTCTGTGATTTTGATGAACTTATTTTATGCCAATATTGATTCTGCTAATAAAGAGAATCATTTCCGATATAGAAAGTGTTCAAGATATAGAATCATTTCCGAGATTCCACCTATTGGTTTAAACTTCTGTATTGATGTACCTGAAATATTATTTTGTATGTAGGAGTATATAGTTAATCTTGACTCTTCATATTCCAAGACATTTAGTGGTATTAGTTGGAAGTTTATACGGAAAAAAAACAAAAAATGTATCTAGTAATTTGAAAAGGTGCTTATAGAAGGGAAAAAAAGAAGAAAATCGCAACGTTGGTTAATACTTTGGGTAATTGGACTTTTTTAACCAGGACTTCCTAAACTTGGGAAGAGCTGAAGGATGTAGCTGAAGAATATTTTTAATCAAATAATCTTGAGAGGTGTCTTAGTGGTGATAAATGGTAAGTCATTTCCAGAAGTTAATATGAAATTAGGTCTTTTAAGTCTGGCAAAGTATTTATGGATAGGTTATGTTCTTAATATCTAAGCAGTGATTTCGAAGATGCTTGCCAAATAATGGAAAATTATATGATTATCTAGGAAACGAGAGATCATCTTGATGGTTTGACAAAAAGCCAACAATGTGGTTTGGCTTAGTGTGAACAAAACTCTTTTTTAGTTACTATTAAGAGTTTCACACCGGATGAAATATACCTTGAAAATGTGTTTATACGTGAGATAACCCTCCCTCACCTTACAAGTTGGTTTTGTAGGGTTTGAATTAAGCCAATCTAAATTTTATGATAGTATGGTAGCCTATCCTAGATTCATTTAGCCACTTGAGTCATGCTTCACATGTCCAGTCTTTAGGCGTGTGGAGGGTGTGTTATGAGTCCTATTTTTGATGAAATAGGACCTGCAAATGTGTTTATTGGCAGGAGACATCCCTCACCTTACAAGTCAAATTTGTAGGGTTGAGTTACTCGAGTTAGGCCCATTGAAATTTGAAGAATTACAAATCACATGAGATATGATTCATGACTCATGTGTATCCATATGAGTGAAGAAATTTGATAATGAAGTACGTAAATAAATAAAAACGAAGAGAAGAGGCCTAAACAATTTGCATTTTGATGTCTTGGATCAGTTATTCATTGTTGAAGAAATCAAAGAAATTTATTATAAACCCAGGTCAATCAAAAGTTTGACACATAAAATTGGATGTCTATCTGACAAAAAGAACAACCTTGAACTATGATATTCAGCACTAGAATAATGGTCTTAGAGTACATAGTTTAAAATGAATACTATAGATGCATAACTTGGGGGTGGTTGTGTGATAACAAAAGTTAGAAGTTAGAAGACTCCATTTTCCCTCAAAAATTGAATGTGGATTTGATTCAAGATAAATGTGAGAAGTCCAAAAAATAAAATTGGATTTAAACTTTATGTAAATGCAATATTTTTCAGGAACCATCATCGTTGTGTGTCTAGGATAAATAAAGGGCAAAAAGTAATAAATCTTGATTGCATTGTGAAAATTCCTAACTTTAACAAAGTACCATATGGCAGTAATTTTATCCATGAAAATGAGAGACACTTCATGAACTTTTGATATGAGCTGAACTGATACTCTGCCTATGTATTATGCAGTTAATGAATGTATATGCACCAAGATATGAAACTGCAGGAAAATTTTGGCCTACTGTACACAACTCAATGATATTCTCTCTAGTACTCATGCACATCATTGCAGTTGGAATCTTTGCATTGAAAAAACTCTCTATAGCATCTACCATGACACTTCCTCTACCGGTCCTCACTCTCTTATTTAACGAGTACTGCCGAAAACGATTCCTACCAATATTTGTTGGATACTCCGCAGAGGTACATTTCAAATCACAAAAGCAATTATAGCCTGAATGTTAAGCGGTCTATTTGAATTGATTTATTTGAACTTATCTATTGATACAAAAATAGTTGTGAGATTGTTTGAAAGAACTTATGGAAACAACTTACGGTCCATAAGTTGTTTTCAGCTCCAGGATAGTTTATGAAAACAAATTGACCTCATATAATAAATATTTATGCTACAAACTCTTAATTAAGTTGTTTATCCAAAACGACATTAATGAAAAGGAAACAGTTATCTCCAGAGAAACATAGTTATTGTATTTTGCATTCATTCTGTTGGCTCTAGTTTTGATTTGGGTTTGTTTTCAGAGTTTGATAAAGAAGGACAGAGAAGACTTGAATGATCCTATAATGGCTGAGTTTTACAACAATTTGATAGATGCTTATAAAGATCCTGCTCTGGTTCCAGTTCAATATTCATCAAACACTGATAGTCTTAGCAATCCCCTTATATCTTCAGCTTAATGATGAGACACTGCTATTCTTTTTTGTATGTGATAGAACATGAACATTCATATTTCAAGAACAATAAAATACTAAAGATGCTTGTATATTGTTGTATCCCTATGTATGAAAATAGAGAAGTTTTAATAAAGTTTTTTTCTATTACTTATTTGCAAGAATAAAGAGAACTAAAAATGACAGCTAGTGAAACTTATGACAACCACTAATTATTTTCCCATCAATTATTGACATCGATGTTTGTACAATTCTCCCTCCTTGAAAGAAATTCATTATCCGACAAATATTACTAGGTGAGTTTATGGTTCCCAAAACTCCTTTTCCAAACAAAATTATTTGCAATGAATTCAAACATGTCATGAGCAATGAATAAGGAGGGTGACAAGTAAAAGACAAAATTGAGCTCTCAATCACTTTGATGTCAATCTGAAAATACTTTGTTGTTATCTAAATATACACAAGATGATATTTAAAATCTGATCAAATGTCTTTCCAAGCATAGTATTTGATGTTTGCTCTACAATAATAAAGAACTGTTTGGTTTATGATTTCATTTTCTGCTATTCATTACAAATATTTTCTAATAAAACAGTTATTTCTAAGATGAGAACCACAATAGTTTTTTATAAAAAAAAAAACTAACGGGAAAAACTATATTAAAGAACTATTTTAAGGTGGGTTTACAATAGAAATTAACAAAAGTAGCTTACAACAAGAGTTAGCATTGATGACCTTAAATTTGAAAATCTTTGGACAAGCCGTTACTAACAAATGCTTTTAACATAAAATCTAAACCAATGGTAAGAAAGAAAAAAAGGAGATAAAGAATCATCTTACCTCAAGTGTCTTTTCAATTTAATTATCAGTAGGACTTTCATTAACAATAGCTGAGGTAGAAGTTAGATTAGGTAAGGGTTTGTCGAATTAACCTTGCCTGCCGACCACTCTCATTTATTTTTGAAAGAGTAAAAGAAAAAGTTTCAGTTTTTTCCCAGAATTTGCGTCATTAATGTTCCATACTTCAAACGTCTTTTTGGAGGTACCATCATTATGACCTTTGGAAACTAAAATACTCGAGTGTTGCGTGCGAGTGATTTGACACGTTTGATAGAGTCTACTTTCTTTTGCATGCTGGTGTACGATTCTTGAAGAGTCAGCGTCGCATTTCTTTGAGTCAATTTCCCAGTTAACAGTAATCCTTCTGTTTGGTATTTTGCTTTCCCGCATCTAAGAAAGTTAGTAAATCATGGATAAAAAATTACATAAGAGAGTTTAAAAATTCCAAAAGAATGCTCAATCTTCGTGGGTGGACTCCGTCTACTCTTCACCCATTTATGTTTTTTCTAAAGAGAGTAATCTTGATGGAGTTTTCTTGAGGTTAATCCTTCTAATACTTTGGATCCCTCTGGAAGTGTGTTGTACCTCAAAATTTGCCCTCTCTATTCTCAAAGACATTTCTCACAAAATATCTCAAATGCTCAAGAAGTTCCAAGAGTTTGATCAAATAAGCTCACCTCCTAAGCACCGAGCCTCCAAATTAAGGTTTTATTTTTTTCAAGGACAATTGGACTTTTGATGTCTCAAATGACTTTCATGGTTCATTATAGGTCTCTAAGATTGCTCATACCAAGTTTTAAGTCTTGCACCACAAATTTGCTCAATCAATTGCTCATATGACTGAAAATCAACTATATTGGATAAAAAATTAATTGTAGTCAATATATAATCAAACTTCATAATTTTTGACCAACATCAACATTTTGAAGTCATATCCATCAATTGATCAAGTGTTGATCACAATTCCTCAAGAAAATCCCTCAAATCATCAAAGGGGCAACATTGTCAAAATTAGGGTTTTGATTGAGAATGACTGATCATTGACTTTTGACATAGTACATGACCTAATGGATTGAGGAATAATCTCAAGGACTCAAACATAACATGTTGACCTAATTTCATGGCTCAAATTATTTCTCAAGATCATTGGATTGATAGTTGAAATTTGATCAACTGATGAAAAGTCAACTGATACACAAAAAGTCAAACTTTGACCTTTTTTATCAACATTGAATTTCAAAAATAAAGATTCATAAATACATTAAAAAATATAAAAATTTATCATCAAGAATCAAGAAAGTCAAAAAGTCAATAAAAAAGTCAAAGTTTTCAAGACTTCGAAAATTTTCTAAGTGTTTTTATACTTGATAAATTCGTTACTTCATGACATTTTTTCACCAAGATGCAAGATGATTCAAGGAAAACTTTCAACATGAAAGTTGTAGATCTTGATGAATTCTAAAACTTTGTATTAGAGGATTGATGTCCAAAAAATACTTAGATTTGAAGATATAGGCCCATAAAGTCATGATATTTTTCATAAAAATACTTAGTGAAATTTTCAACTAGTTTAGGCAGATTTTTTACCTAACTTCTTGACCAATTTTCACCTAGTTCCAAGATGATTTAGCCAAAATGGTCAACATGAAGGTTGTAGACAATTTTTGAAGCTTTCCAAAATTTTCAAGAACTTGAAGAGATCATTTTTGAGCTAGGAGAATCGAAGAGAAGAAGTTGAGCATCCATTCTTGAATTTCAAGCCATTTTCATGAAGAACACTTGATCAAATCTCAAATCTATGCTGCATAATCTTGCTTTGCAGGCTTTTAACTTATAAATCACTCCATAATTAATTGTTTAAATAATTGATTGATCCATTATCCAAGTGATTGAGCCATTGTCTAAACCAATTTTCCATTTATGGCACAAAGTTACCATTCCATTCTTGTAAAGTTGCTTTAATCACAAAGTCAACTTGTATTGAGCCTCTAACTTTCTCCCTCTGCACACACTCAACATAAAAAGTCATATAAACATGTTTAAAGCTTCTAACCACTCTAGATAGCCTTGTACCATGCCTTGGAACAATGTTTGTCAAAGCTTGCTTAAAAAACAAGTCATGTAGCCATAACCCTACAACTTGCAAACCTGATGTTATCTTTTCCTCAAATCTTTTCCTATAAATAGAGGCATTGTTTAAAAGTCACCACACAAATTCATAAGCCTTCTAACTCCCTCAAATTCCGTGCAATCAAAATTGGCATAAAAACTTCATTTTGTTGCAAGTTCTGGCCACAAACCTCCAACTTCAAACTCCATCGTGCATTTTCATTTCTAATCTATCACAAAGCTTCTGTATCACATATTGAAGCTATCTAAACGTCTGGAACACAACTGTAACATCATCTTCCTCATCTCCCATAACCAAAAACAGTAACTTGCATATTGACTTCTCCAGATCAACAAAACGACTCTCAATCCAAATTAAGCATTGCATTAGCTTCCTAGAGGTCCAGTGAAGCTATTCAGATCATCACAACACTTTCAGGAGTGCTCAAACTCAAAACACGATTTCCATTTTCAAGGTAAATTTTCTGAACTTTCAAATCCTTATACAAGTATCATTTGTCTCTGATTTCAAAAGATAAAATATAGACATCATAGCCTTGAAGCTAACCATGCCCTTAGATTTCATTTATGTTGCCTGAGTGATGCAAATTTTGAGTTTGAACTTTCTGAAAAATTAGATCAGAATTTGGTACCAAGCAAAATCGTGCTTATCTTTGATCCATAGTTTAAGTTATTTACATATTTGAAATCGTGATGAAATTTCTAACAAGTTTGATGTTTACACTTTCTGAAATGGTAAAGAAATGAGTAAGTTTGAAAATTCAAAATGTTGTTGAAGCAACTGGCGCGAGGAAGAAGAAGAAGACACAATCAGGAGCAAGTTTGTAATGTAATATGTTGGTTGTGCATAAGTTAACGGATGTATCATCACCCCAGTGATTAAAGCGCGCGTCTGTCACCTATGGAACCTGGATTCGAGCCCCAGCGTCCCATTTTGTTATTTTTCTAACATTTTTTTGTTCTTTGTTTTGTTCTAGCGCGTGTGGGCCTCCCTAGCTTTGGGCCTCACCATTTTTTTTCCTTTCCATCACCCTCCCCCCCCCCCCCCTTTTACTTGCTACAGCGCAGGCCCAATGTTTCTTTATATTACAAACTTTTTCTTCTTTTTTCTGAATTAAAAAAAGGACTTATATTGGGTCTGCCAAAATTGCTTTTTCACACCCATTTTATTTTTTCAACCTCTCAGCCCAACATTTTTATATTCTTTATTTTTCTCTATAATTTATTCATTCTATTTAATTTTATACAAAACATATATTTTTTATTAAATATTTTAATTTAAGTATTTTATTTTATTTTTTTATCAAATTAAATTTTATTATTGTAGAATATTTTTCTTAATTAACAACTAACGTTCATACTATTTTCTAAATAAAATTACTTTATACTTAGGTTTATTTTCTTCTTAAATTTGATTAATTTAGAGTTTAGGTTTTGTTAAGTAATTAATTGACTCTTCTTGTAAATAAATTAATTAGCTTAATTAGGCTAATCTCCAAACCTTTTCATCAAAAACCCTAAAAATAATTGATTTCTTCTCCCCTTCACCTTTACATTTTGTATATTATTTTAATTCATATTCAATGGTTTGTAATAGTAATTAGAGATTTATTTTACTTGTCATCCCCATTTGTAAATTTGTATCACCATCTCCAAAAATATTATAATAGCATATGACATTTAAATTCTACAATTTATCGCTTTATTTATTATTGCTAGTAATTAGGATTTGTATGGCATGATTTAAAATAAACATTAGTATTGCGACTGGTTTTTAATACAGAGTCACCACTATTAGTTTTTATCCTAGAGAAGGGAATCTAATAGGAAATCCTAATTCGCAGACAGAGATTCTAGGTTTCGGACTTCATTAGAAGAAAGGAAGGTGTTAGGCACCTTTCATCTACCTTGTTCACAAGGATACTAGGTTTTAGGTTTAGATTTTAGGTTAAACAGGGTTTTAAATTTTAATAGGAGAACTCGCCACGATTTTTGATCGTATGCCTACGTATCCTCTTATGAGGAATCAGAGTCCA